TTTGGATGACTAATCATTAACAGAATCTAGACACGCACACATATCTATATATAAATCTATGACATCCTGGTCCACTGGTTAGATTACCAGGGGGCATTTCAACGTCTGCGAATGGAGTGCCACACGTCACCTTGGCTGAGGATCTCTACTCGGCATTGGCGATCAAATGGACTGGTTTGCTGTTTATCCGACAGCCTGGTCTCGACCTTGGCAACAGATGTGCCTCTTACGAACATGATGGACTTGTCCGAAATGACCCGTTGACCATTCATACAGATACTCAGATACTCAAAGTGTCGTTCAAGGATTTGGCATCCAGCAAGTGCGTTTGTCCATAAATTTTCCCACTCCAATGATCTTCCATGTCTTCTATTTTATAAAGCGGCTGGATGGCTAAAAGTTCAAACCATCATTTGCTTTTGGAATCCATCTTTTTCCGGTCCCATGCCCAAATGCTAGGGTTTCCTTGAAATGACATGGCTGAGGCTTGTACCGCTTCCAGATCACCTGCATGGGAGCGGCTGAGCTTAGGATAGATAATACCATCCTCATCAAGGAAGACACCTTGTTGAGCCCAGGCTGCATCAGATGTAGCAACCCAATTTAACGCTACAACTACAGCTACCTCATCGCATCTACTGTTGGGAACGTCTGAGATGAATGTGTTGATATCTCTCGCACTTCACTGGGATCTATACCCAACGATGAGCATGAAGGAGAGATGAGCCATTCAGTCCTCTGTCCTTTTTCCGAGATGCAACAACCAAGGACTCAGCGCACCAATATCCCATCCAACCCGGTGACCCTGCCCGTGTTTGGGACAGCAAAATCATTCGGGCCACGGCTGGTCATGGTTACCATGGTTTCATGTCCTTAACCTCACTGACGTCGCGACTCGTCGCGACAGATCAGCTCCCGAGGCTGGTCATCATGCGGCTGCCTGAGACCTCCATGACAGGAACAGAGGTTGATTCCATTTCTTATATTTCGTGATTCCATTGATATCCATTGATGGCTCATGGCCAGTCAGTGATGACAGAGCAGATGACAATGCACCGAGGCAATCCTCATTGGATACACCGAGCTGCAAGGTCAAGCAGGTGCATGTGGTAAACATATCCGGGTGAGTAAGAGGAAGCTTTGAGGGGGGTTGTTGGGACGAGAGAGTGAGGAGAAAGACGCGTGAGCAGCACCCTATAACTACACCTGTGGCCCGTGGCTCTTCTCGATGGAACTCCTTAGTATGGTCTTCAGTTCATGTTTCATTTTCATGTATCTGCATGGCATGTTTCAGCCTGCCGCCTGAATCACAGGCCTCAAACGCTTCTGAGTGCAGGGAAAGAAACAACCAAACTCCTGCAAACTCCTGCAAATCCTTCATATTTACTTACCATGTATATCACACATAGAAGATGATTTGACTTTGTGTGGTTGAGGTATTGTGCAGTTGATATTGAACTGAATTTTGGTAGGTCGCACCATTGAACAAAATCGTTGTTTCCATGTTGCCATAGCTACTTGGGAGCACAGTTCCAGTTACGGGGGGCCATAGTATGCCATAGTTATAGAGGTGATATCCCATCTTATGGGCGTTATTACCATGGTTGTGCCCGCTGGTCAAACCACTTTTTGCCTGGCATGCTATTGGGCACATGTGTGGTGTGTTTGACGCCACTTGCTGAAGTTCATATCATTGGTCTATGGTGCTCATGAACAGGAAGAAGCTATTTATATAAATGCTACCGGAAGAAAAGCCCGCTCGGATTTGTACAGAACCTCCGTGATGCTCTTGCAGGGGTATCAATAAGCTGATGGTGATTTACTTTGGATTTTAGTTTTTCCTTTTTTTTCTGCCAGTTGCAATGAGGAGATCCTGTCGATGCAACGGCAGGTTTTGCCATCAACTACCTGGGGCCAGACACCATGAACCAGTTGCCATCTGAGACGAAACCAAGTGTTAGAAGGGAAGATCTCAGATATCTGGGATTCCTACAGGAAGAGCAGGTTGGTGCTGTGTGATGTTCCGAAATCATCCAAATTATTGAAGGTTTGTAGAAAAGTGGCAGTGCCTTATGGATTCGCCTCCTCCACGCTTCAATTTTGGCCAGGTTGAAACTCATCCCAGCCCACGCTTTGATGCACGAAAAGGGGTTTGCTGCTCAGCCTCGTCCTTGCGACCTCACAACAGGTGTGTTCCAAACTGCGAAACGTGGCCCCCCAAAGGCCACCCCAAAAAGGAGATGAATGGGTCGCTTTTAGTCGGGCTAGGGGTGGTTCTAACTATTGATATATATATATACTGATACAGGAAAGCCAAGTTATTAAGTTTTATAATTTGGTTTATACACCAACCCAGCTGTAGATGTATGAAAAAACACAAAATTCCACAGTTTCACCCGAGTTTCACCCCCAACTTAACTACAATAATCTCAAGTTGGAAAGTTAGAAACCAACTTTCCACAATTGATCGATCAGTAGGGCATCCCATGGTATCTTCAATGCGATGGCTTGGACCTGAGACCCTGTGACTTGCGTGTCCTGGTGGGTGCTGACAAGATCGCCTGCGTTGCTTGGCTGAACAACATCCATTGATGTTTTTTTGAATTCACAATCAGTAGATATAAATAGATATAAAGTATGACTGTATATACATGGTTTACGTCTCGCCTCTTGGCTGAATTCCTTGAGATGGCGATGGAGAAATAGAGAGAGAGAGAGAGAGTTGACATATGGCATTAACCAAAATGAATGAGCGACGGCCACTGACCGCATTTTGAAATGCCCGCTGCATCAGCACTGCTAAGGGCAACAAAGATCGGCCTCGCTGGGCGCTTTCAAGTGGTGAGTCTTGTCAGGCCGATATCCTCGGCGCATCATAGCTTGACAGCTATGGAATGCTCTGGAATTCTGTGCAGATGACACATGCCGTGGAATGCCTAGTGATGTCAGAGATATTCAGCAAATCCCATGACTTGCAGAGATCGTTTGACCTTGACTGGTGGGGATGTCCGTTAGCATCCTCCATGATTTCCGGATATTTTCAGTGTTTGCGACTTCGGGCACCATGGATGTAGCATGTAGTTGCTCGAGGCCAAGGCATGCCAGGCTTAGGCTTAAATGCTCTCAGACCCACAGTGACCACAAAGAGGAGCATACTTCATGACACAGTTCGCGGTATCGTGATCATTTTCCATCGCAATCTCGGAGTCTCGGATGTTTTCCAATGAGAGACCTTTCTTAAGCCTCCCAGCTGGTCCTACAGCCACTTCACTTTGCAAAGTCCAACCACAACTGCCCCAGAAGCGTCCGGGGTCACATGAACCAAACCTTTTGGCGAGCAATGCAGCGGCCTGGTATGCGCATCCACGCTGGATCGCATTTGCCCCAATCAGGCTGGAGATGGCACAGAAGTTGCGAATGTTGTATCCTCATCATTGATCCATCACCAGTTGGCATGGCCATTGTGAGTTATATCTTCTCTTCCCCTATCTTCCCCTCTTGGTCATGGAATCATGGGTGGCATCCTCCGAACAGTGCTGCTAAGCCGCTAGGCGCCTTGGAATATGTCGGGGCGCTAGCGAGATCGCAGCAACGCTTTCCATCGGGCCTGGCGAACACCCTCCCCAGGCTGGCCAGCTTTGCCATGGTGGGGGGTCATAAAACCGATGTGTTCTGACCCAATGGGGTACAATGAGGTAGCTTACAACAGGAATCCATGAGTCATCATGAGTCAATGGGAACCAGTGCTTGGAAAAAAATGCTGCGATTGTCTCAAGTTGGTTCAAATTGAGCAATCATGCCCTTTGAAAAGCTGGAAGGTTGCAAGCTCCCCTCCACCCCTGCCCTCTAGATGAAGTTCAGGCCTGACAGCTTGACAGTCATCAACACATGGTTTTCCGCCAGCTCGCTGCAGGGCCCTGCAACAGCCACCGGCTGGAAGTTGCATGCACCTGAAACACATTTGCTGTGCCAAAGACGATTGGCGCCTTATGCACGAGGTGGAAAGGGAGATCCAGGCGCTGCATAGCCCAACTAGGTCTTGAGAATTCTTCGGTGCCACAGAATGGATAGACCATGGTAGATCATTGCGGCCATCGAGGCTGCCAGCTACAAGAAGGAGGGTGATGCCTTGGGCTTTCACCGGCCCCTTGGCTGTAGGTCATTTTCATCATTTTCATCCCTTGCCGACGGGGGTTTGTAAGAGCCCAGGAGCAAGAAGCACAAAGTTGCTTATGGTGAAGCGCTGTCAGAGGCGCCTGCGTTCGTTGCTTGGATGGGGCTACTTTTTCGCATGCCGCTTGTTCTGTGTGGCATCTCAGACATGGAAAATCCATTCATGAACGATGTGGAAAAAGGCTGCTTTGGTTCAGCCAAACTGCTTTCTTCACTTTTGTCCCTTGCAATTAGGGTGTTAGTGGTGTTTCATGCATTCTTGTTCTCATTTGAGGTTAGCCTGGTGAAACATGCCCTGGCCGTATTTGATCTTACACTGGTGGACTGCTGGGCCAATTTGTGACTTGGCCAGCAAGAGTCGAGGTAGGCTGCTTCACAGGTGGAGCATGTTTGTTAACAGACCGGCATCCAGGATGGGGCCCAACCATTTGCAGAGGGCGAATGCAATTGTATAAAAACAATATATTATAACTAGAGGTGTATTATACGGTGTGTGTATATATATATACATATATATACATACATACATATATATACATACATACATATATATATATATATATGTGTGTGTATGTATGTATGTATATATATATATGTGTGTGTGTTAGTGTTCACCCCCACATGATCTACCCCAATGATCCCCAATGAAGGTTTTACCTGATCTTTGCCCATGGCCCACCTTTGACCACTATGCAAGACCCTTTTGGTGCTCTCTGCTCATAAAAAGGTTGATGTCGCTTTGGATATGCAGAAATAAACATTGGAAGGATGGGAAGAAACAAGTGTTCAATTTTGTTTATTTGCAGAAAAATGTGCTGCTTACAGGTTACAGTCTGCCTTGAAGACTGGATATTTCCACAAATAAGAGTTGAATTGGACGTGAACATTCAGTACATGACATTTCTCAGGCGATATCGCACGTTACATTTGGCTCAAGCAAAACCGTGCGGCGCCTTTGCAGTTGCTGCCGCCAAGTGGTTTTACCATTGAATAACTGGTTATCAGCCGTATTCGCTGTGTGCGGGTGCGGCCGTGGTCCTTACATATTTACGGTTACTAGCATTTGCTTTGGGTTTGAGCCACCCATTCTTGTGTTGGAAACCTAAACTTCCTTTCTGTGATTTCCAAACTGCTTAGCTAAGTGGCAGTGATTGCAACCAGCGACCTGCTACATCGTTAAGTACACACCTTGGGGTGATTTTCCAACCGCCTGATCGGATTGCACCGGTTGGATCTCACCTGAAGTTCTGCTTCGCCTTGGCCACCGAACCTTGGCGTTGAAGCAGCGAGTTCGCGTCCGGCGACCGTTGCGGAGTGTAGCAACACATAGACTGGGAATTGCTAGTAGCTTGGTATAAACCTCGCTCGTAGTCTTCCGGTTACACTTACAATTCCATATCGGCAAGCATCATTCGACTGTGGCGCTCGCTCCTGCGACCCACCCGTCAAGCAAAGACCAACTTCCATACTTAGCTTTGGTAGGGAAGTGCTCTTGTTGAACAACCTACTATACTGTTGAGACAACCCGCTAAATCCCGCCAACCCGCTTTCTCGAACTGCCTCGGATCAAGCTCTTTCAGCCCCAGCCTTTGCGAGTCCGATTGTCGCCGCTCTTACTTCCATAGTGAAGTAAGAGGAGGAAAAACGGGACTTCGTGAGCACCGTCGTTCCCTTCTTCACCCTTTTGTGGTCCGAGAAAGGGAGCTCAAGGCAAGGAGCAATCTCCAACCCAGCGAGGCAGAGGAGTTCCACAGCTTGCATAGATTGTTCACTGACGCAAGTGCATTGGAATCGAGAATCTGGGACTTCACGACCAGCCGAACCCTAGCAGAACATTTGCACGTCAGCGGGCGGATCATTGATTCTGTTTGTGGGACGTCTGCGAGTACCCGGAGTCCAGATCACTCCCCAGTTCAGGAGGAAGAAGAGTTTCCATCCTGGACTCAGCCTGTGACACCCGACGCCAGTGTTCATTCGGTGGGCTCGTCTCCCGATCGTTCGAGGTCACCGGTGAGGACAGTCTTGAATCCTTCGGAGGCAGTTCGACCTGCAACAATTGCACCGGACGTCAGAGATCTTCGTGTTGCTGTCCTGTTGGACCACCACGGTGTCTTGGACAAGAGCTTCCGAACTTCAACAGAGCTGATCCGGCGCTTGCGTGGCGAGTTTGGCAGTGAGGTGTATATTTGTTGCTTGTCGTACGCTCCTAGTGATCACAGGATTGCAGAGGTCACCAGCCATTCCCGACGGCTTGGCATTGACTTCGAGTGCACTCGGATCATGTTTGGCAACCGAGGCAAAAAGGGTTGGGCTCGGTGGATTCTTGAACGAGAAGGCATTTCCTGCGCATTCTTTGTGGACGATCAACAGGCACTAGTGGACGAAGTCAAGTCGTTGGGACCACACATTGAGGCTTGCGTGTTGCCTCAGTGGGATTCCATCTTGACGGTTCACTCTCGGATCAGGCAATTTGTGTCTGAATCCTTGGATTGGCTGCGGTTCAAGCAAACAAATCCTGAGCGTTGACAGCGGGTGTGGGTAGTGCCTTACACATATACCAAGGAACCTTAGCGGGTGAATCGTGCTTTGTGTTCTCCTCATTAATTGGGTTGACTGAACCAACAGGATTCATTGCAATTTGCCCCACGCACATTTCAGGGGCATTTTCCAACATTTTGTGTTGTGTTCTCCTGGGCGAGGGATTTTGCATTGCATTTGTCCAGCCTTGGTTGATAGAACCTTCACATCCTGTGATCGCGTCCAGCGACCGGGGATAATCATACACCAAAAGTGGCTTCCAAAACGGGAGCGCTAAGGGCTCCATTTTTGGTGCGAATTCTACAACATGTCAACTGGATTTTCACCACCAGATTCATCGGGATCATTGTCTCTTACTACAAGCTCTCAGACTGACAGACAAGTGCCGGAGAGTAGGGCCATGGCCACAGTGGTAGAAACGATCGTCCAAACAAGCCTCTAGAGAATCTAGTCAGAGTTCAACTGAGACAGGGGCTAGGAATAGATCGAGGAGAAAAAGCCAACAAAGAGCCATTGCTAGTTCTCCATATTCAAGGGATGCATCTGAGGAGAAGGCTTTCCCAGGTGCTTGTGCTGGTTTTCCTCCTGGTATGTCTGAAGGTGAAGAGATGGTAGAACAAAGAACCCACCCGATTGTTGAGCAACATCAACATGAGCACCTTACCCAACACTATGTTGACCAGAGAGCCATTCACCAGCATCAACATGTCCACATTGAGGATGAGCTTGCCCGACGAGAAGCACATGAAGCTCGGGTGGCTGCATTGCAGGTGCAGGCAGAGGCACAAAGGGCTGTGATCGGGGCGGAACAGGCCGCTCAGAACATAGCTATTCAAGCTAACCTAGAGGTCAACAGGGTGGTAGAGGCAGCTCATTCTGAAGTCAATCGTGTTGTTGGAAATGCGGCTTCTGAGAATGAACAGTTGAGACAGCAAAACATCCAACAACAACAGATGATTGAGGCGCTTCAGGTGAGGCTGCAACAGCATGAGGCCATGATGATCCAACAACACGGACAGCTGCAACAACTTTTGCAGAGCCGAAATAGTGCGGATTTTGTTCATGATGTTCCATCCCCAAACCATGCAACCCCGATCCAGCAAAGCCCAACATCCTCATCTTGTAGACCTCCGAGGATCCCAACGCCAAAGGCGCCATCCGAGGCTTCCAATATGTCTGCAGAGCTTCAGGCTCACATGACAGATGCCGTCAAAGCATTGGGGCAACAGATTGGGGAATCGATGAAGTCCATGCAGGATCAGATCAACCAATTGGCTAGTTCTCGCATGCCACAAGCTGCATCTCCAACTGGCAACGTCTTTCGCCCAGGTTCGCACCAGGCGTTCGCTACAGGCGACCCTGGGGATGGAGGGGATGGTGATGACGATGATGGTGACACTGATGATCCTGATGAGGATGAGCTATGGGCCGACCGGTTGGTTGTCCAAAGGCAAGGGCTCCAAAACGGGGGCGCTGGAGGACCACCAGGGGACGACCCACCAGGGGGGAATGGCAACCCAAATGATGGTTTTATGCCCGGTGTTCAAGTGCATAAGGCATAAACATCACAGCACGTCCTATGCCAAGCTTAGTCTCGCATAGCGCGCAAGCTCTTGAGTAAGAAACTTTGGTCAAAATTTGACTTCCCAGGACCGATAAGGCGGCAAGTAAGCATAAGGACACAGATGGCAATCATGTAAATCAATAGAAAAAACAAAAACACACAAAGAACTCGAGCAAAACCAAAAGAACAAAAAATCAAAACTTTTGAGAAAATGTGTGGTTTTCACTCAAAAGATGATTTTTTTGTTTTTCCCTAGTTTCTTTGGTTATTTTGGTTCTGAAATGGAAAACAAAAATTGTGTTGTTTTTGTTTTTTGAATGGATATGATCAATCAAGATCTCAAATAAAAAAAAAAAACTCTTTCTTTTTGGTGTTTGAGTCTTGTCCATACAGAAAACCAAACCTAAAATGTTTTTATAATTTTTATAGTTATTTTTGAGATCTTGATTGATCATAGCCATTCAAAACAACAAAAGCACTTTTTTTTGGTTTCGGAACCCCAAAAAACAAAAAACCTAGGGAACACCAAAAAAAAATGAGTCAAAACCAAACATTCTCCCATTTTTTGTTTTTTGTTTGGTTTTGTTTGAGTTTTTTTTTCCAAGTTTTGTTTGCTTTTCTCGATGTGGCCCAAGTTGTTCGAACTTCAGGTTCCAAGCTCAAATCCCCCCCCAAAGAGTCTCAAAATATTGTTTTTTTCTTATACAAGTATGGTTGTAGGCATCATTATTGGCTGCATGAAAAGGTGAAACACATGATAGGGTGAAGCTGACCAGGCGTTGAAGTGGCCAGACAAAAGTTTTGAATCAGTCACTGCCATTGAACTTGAACAATAATGCATTAGATATTATAATTACAACCCAGATACATTGACACATCCATGTGCAAAAACCTGCCCCCCATGAGCGCCCCTTCTGCAAGTTGTTGTTTTTCCGGCTATGCTTTATATGCGAAAAACATGGTAATTCCCAAATAACATGCTTCTACGTATATCATGGGGGTGTGACCATATATAAATATAAATATAAAAATTTAAATATATATATAAATATCAATATATAAAAATATAATTATATAAATGTATAAATATAAAAATATGAAAAACCATAAATATATAAACATATAAACATATAACTATATACATGTATAAATATATAAATATGCAAATATGTAAATATATAAGTATTTAAATTTGAAATATTTAAGTATAAATAAATAGAAATATAAATAAATATACATATATATATATATACATATAAATATACAAATATATATATATATATAAATATTTAAATGTATGTGAATATATAAATATATATATATTTTTTAACTATATTTAAATAAATATATAAATAAATATGCAAATAAAAATAGAAATATATAAATAACTAAATTTATAATAAATAGAATAAATAAATATATAAATATACAATTATATATAAATATATCAAAATATAAAAATACATATAAACATATAAGTATATAAATATATAAATATATAAATATATAAATATATAAATATATAAATATATAAGTATATAAATATATAGATATAGAAATATGGAAATATGTAAATATATGAATATATAGATATTTAAATATATAGATACAAAGAAACAGAGAGAGAGCATAAATACGCACAAGTAGAAGTTGATTGGGATTATACTAACGGATACAAACACCAATGCCACAAAAACTATAGGATTTGCAATCGCACTCCACTCCGTGAGGTACAGCGGCGAGGATGACATGAAGTCCATGCACCATGACAACTATCAGGATCGGCATCCTAGAGCTACTGCCACTTGGATCACCTGGAGAGGTTGGGACGGCCCGTTGCCGGCCAGGACCATGTAAGAAAACATAGGCACCCACATTTTTCTTGGGCACAGTCATATTCCCAATTTGCTGCTACTTATTGTATGCTATCATGTTGTAATTAAATGTAATAAAGGAACTGTGATTTAAAACCAAACAATTTTTTCAGTACAACATGGTGCTGATCAACAAGCATAATTGTTGGGCAAAACCATTTGAACATATTTGAACATGATCCAAAACTGCCTGTTTGGCTTTGATTGATGATTCATGCTGCCAGTCAGTGGCCTAAGATCTGAACCTTTCGACCGAGGCCACGATCGGGATCAGTTTGGGCCAAGGACGACATTTCGCCTTCCAGAACCCTGTGAACCATGAAGAGCACCAGGCCGTTTGGGTCCGGATGATGTATGATGATGTGACATTGGTCAGTCCAAAAAGAAGGTAAAAAAGTACCTCCAAATCCATCCGAATCCACTGGTTTATCACATGTTTTTTCCCGATTCAAATGGCAATACATTGGGGTATGATTCATTTTTATAACACGGATGATGCACAGGTCTTCCCTGAAGTTGGGCTTGGGATTTTTAAACCATGGGGTTTACATTTGGAACCAAGGTCGTCATAAATTGGACTATCTGCCTACGTATTTACTAAACATGCCAACATAACATGTGGTTTACAATGTTCTGCACGACATCGCCCAAATGAATGGGACCTGAACGGCTTCACTTCCCTGCAGGTTGTGACTGAAAACGGTGACATTTTTGCCTTCGATGAGCAGCTCGGTGGAATTTGGTGAGATGAGCTGTCAGCCCTCGGGAGATCGCCACGGCACGCTGTCATTTGTTGAACCCAGCGATCACTGGGTTCAAGGTCCGGGTCGACCCAGAAAGCAGAAACCACTAGTCCACAAGTCCCTGGTTTAGACCACTGAGGCCCTTTAACAATCTCTTCAAACATGCCGTGCCTCCAGAAGCTCCGGGAACTGCCCCCGGCAAATGCATTGCGGTGATCATTTGGGCCAACGAGCAGGACTGCATCCCGCGCATGGTGAGGGAGAAGAACCCGGGCATGCGCCACTGTTCAGGATGTATGCGGGTAACTGGGGTAGCGAGCATGACGTATTGATATGCTATATTGTACCATATTATGCGGTAATTGTACCACATGGTCGGGGGGCCATGAATCGGCCATGAGTGCAAAGGTTAGGATTCAAGCATCGTGGATTGTGGTGACCCCAAAGGTGGTATTGACCATTCAATTTGACTCGACTACATGCTGTTATTGCAAAGGTCCCCGAAGATCCTTAGCCCTGAGCTCTTGAGCTGAACATGCGTCAAGCAGTCATTGCATCAGAATTCAGGCTTCAGAGTTGGAGACTCACTAGCTGTGCCGTGTTGCAGCCAAGGTGACATCGTACCCCTGAAAGTTGACTGGGAGAGTTGGGGCAAATGTGTCCCTGGTTCTTTGTCGCGACATGATCGAGCAGGCATGGCCGGCCATATTTTCAACCTGGAGATCTTGAGGAGTACTACCCTGAAACTTAAACCCAGAAATCGATAGAAATTGCGGAGGGAAAATCATTGTACTATTGTACTGTAATCGTTGCTTTTTAAAGCGTTTTCCAACTAAGATAGACCCTGCCAAATAGGGGTAAAACTACTTTCCTCAAGCAATTTAATTCTAGGGGTATTTTGGGGGATGGTAGCAGCTGCCATCAACTTCCACTCTTTTGGGGCCCACAAAAAGTAACGTGGCAAACCCAATGATAAAGGCTAAGCTGGGAGTGTGGCGTTGCGGATTTGTCCGCATGGAGTGCGCAGACAAAACCTCTGATAAACCATCCCAGCAACCCAAATATGGATAACCCCAATCATAAACATCATAAACATCATAAACCAAGACTGGGGATGGTTTATGAATGTTTATTATTGGGTCTAGCAGAGTCTACCACATTACTGGTTGGCTCAGCTTTTCCTAGGCCGTGCCGACCTTGAAGCGGAGCATCTGGCGGACTACCTGCAGCATCTGGGTCGGAACCCGGTGGACATCGTCGATACTTGGTACCACTTCGCTGGATTTTGTTAAACACATCGGCAGGAACACCTGGTTTTAATACATGTTTTTACCCATCAAGAAATGAGAAACGAGGGTAGAATTTGGAATTGGTGTCTGAAGTTTTTCTTGATCCAATTCTGTTGTCCAAAGGAGGTGCAGTGATGGTCAGTTGGGGGTTTCAATCAACAAGATGTTTTTTTTGGACTGGTTTCCCGACAACAAGTGGGATATGACCAAAGGGTTTCTGTCCTTATGTAGGATGATTTCCTGTGGATACTCTGGATGTGTAGAACGCCGAAACAACGGACCAGCCTTGTTCTGGCGGCGTGACCTTGTTCTTGAAGCGCTTCCGTGGAAGCATCGGACACCTTTGACGTTTTGTAAAAACGTGTGAGAACTGTCAGTGTGGCAAGTGTAGATGTGTGTGTGTGTGTGCGTGTGGAACGTCTGAACAGACGTAAAACTTCGCTGGCGGCTCATTATATATATATATATTATTAGAGCAGGGGATCACCGGAGTCCGGGGGGGTCGGTGATCAATGAAGGCACCTCCCAGGGACCTGTGTAAACGTACCTGCGGGACTTTGGTGGTGCACCTGGGCGCATTTAAGTCGCAGCTGGTGACCACCATAGTCCCACACACATATATATATATATATATTTATATTTATATTTATATTAAATTTATCTTGTTTAATAGCGCGTTTTGGAATTCAGTTCCCGACGGATCACTACAACGATCCAGTTCTTTTCTATTGTGATTTCCATGGTGGCTCCGACATGGTGCTATGGACCCAATTGAGGGAACTTTTTTTTGAGGTGAATGCCGACCGACCGACCCACACATTTTAATTTAGTAATTCGTGTAGGTAAAGTGGAACAGTCGGCCATTCTGTTGTCAGTTGTCAGCCATTTTGTCCCACCGATTCCGCCGTCCTTTTGCCCCTCGGTTGTCTCAATCCTACGCACGTGAAGCCGTTCTGAACTGCCGCAAGCTTCTTTTTTCGCTCATGTTCAAGCCTTTGACGGCATGACACACAATACAGTACAGGCAGGTACACGCTTTCCAGGTGTGGTGATTTCTTCCTTTTGATGGTTGTCTGGTGAGGTTGAACATTTTGTGCATCAAGTTCATCATTTGAACTTGAACAGCTGCTCAATGCCCACTCGTGGGTTGACCGACTACCGTCCCTTCGAGGGAATAACGTGCGACTTTCTAGGTAGGAACTGAATCCCATGTCATTCTGTTGCTTTAATTTTTTAATCAACTAGTTCCCCATTCGGTCCCATATTTCATGCGTTCTTCCCTCCCCATGTAAGTTGGGTCCTGTTCGTGCCTAGGTAGGCGTAGGTTTCGCCGTGGTAGGTTGGTTCAGGCGCTTCTGTCTCCCCACCCTTCCGCTGGTTTTTCTCCGTTTCCGTCGGCCTCCGCTTTTCTTTTCTCTTGCCCTTTCAGGGCTTGCTCGCTTAAGCCGAGAACCTTACTGCGATTATTTATTTGGGCCTTTTGGATCAGTTTTCCACAATCTGTTTCCACAATCTGGTACCACAATCTGTTAACTTGACTATTTCACCAACATTCTGAGCGTGATCTTATTATTTATCGATGTTCAACGTTGGGGTCTTTTTGAACCAGTTTCTGATCGTGATTGACTTTATCGGAATATTTTCATCTTATTCGTATACGGCTTCGAGGAGATCTACCTTAGGTCTATCGTTTTTTTTTTTAAATTGCGTGTGATGGGATTCAGTTCCCAACGGGTCACTTCAATGATCCAGTTCTTGTCTAGTGTGTGTAGCCCGCTATAGCATGCGGTTTTTCCTACGTACAGATAGCAGGGGGGCAATCTCATGTTTGCAGCTGAATGCCCTTATTGATATGACTCCGGGACGCTGGAGTCACGTACCTGCTCTCGCTCAACGGTGGTTCAAACTATTTGTATCAGGCTGTTTAGGTAAACTGAAGGTGTCATGTGACATACATGTGCGATTCTGAATTCACTATTTCAGGCCTCGATTTCTTAGGTCTTGATGTCTCAGGTCCTTTCAAGGCGACTTGAAGCACAAAGTATTACCTTTCTGTTTCAACCTTATCACCAGTATGTGTGTGTGTGTGTGCTGGAGCGGGTGTCAGCTGCAAGGATCCAGTGCCTGCTACAGTCCCAGAAGAGCGGGGAGGTTCCTTGTGAGCATTTGTCCGATGTGTTTGTGTTTGTTCTTATTTTTGTCTGTGGGGCTGGGCACATCGCAGTCGGGGCAGATAAGGGAATTTTGGCATTTGGTTGAGCTGAAAAGAACACCTGGCCCTGGCGATGTGCACTTTTTAGGGGACCTGAAACATTTGGACGGCCACCTGCGTCGCACATGGGTGATATTGACTATACTGACTACACACCATAGCAGTTGGCTGGACAAAGCAAGCAGGATGAATAAATGGTAAATTATTTATGTATATATATATATACACAGGTGTATGTATATATTATAACATATATATATATGTATATATATATATCAATATATACTATATATATTATATTAAATTCAATAAAATTGTATTATATTCTATTTTATTTATACACATATGTGCGTGTACGTATGTTTGATTTTCACCGACCATTTGTCACCCCTATCACATGTGTGCGGATGCCAAGGTTATGTGGAACGCCCCGGGAAACTCCAAAGCTTCTATCATCGACCAAGGATGCTTCGCTCAGGGAATGGTTGTGAGGTATGCCAGGGTGGCGGAAGTTTCGGGAAGACAATCTGCTTTGCAAAGGGAACATAGTAACATGGGCACAACCAGGGCAAACCTTAGAGAGGCCCTGGCGAAAAAAGGGAACAAAGTAGCGATAGAAACGCCCTTAACTCCAATAATTAACAATGAATGATGCCCCAACCCATTTGGATGGCATTGAAACCACATACAATAGACCAGGGATGACCAGGGTACAATTTTTTTTTGTTCCATCTTCGTCTTTAGCTCCAACGTTTGGTAGGAGCTGCGTGGCCAAAGCCAAACTGAGCCAGGCAGCTGGCGGTCCAGATATGGTTGTGGAAGGAATGGTATGTTTCAATACATGTTCGGTATCTGTGGATGTCATCCCAATCTGGCTGTGATTATCGTGATTATCTTATAAGCTCCACTTGCTGTTTGGGCAGGACGCAATTTTTTTCTCGAATAATGGCTGTTGGGAACCAACAACCAATCACGTCGCCGACCGGCTTCTTCCTGTTCCGGAATCCATGGTTGGTATCCAGAGTTTATCAAGATATCCGATACCCTCGTATGTGGGATGAAGATGATGAAGTTCATACCCAATTGCTAGGTGTTCGCTAGCTTCAGAGGTGATCACAGTAAAGGTGCTGATTTGTGCTCCCAATACTTCACTTTTCTGCCCAGGCCCCTTTGTCCATGTACACGCAGTTCAGCCGAGCTAAAGCGACACCCTTGCCTGCTGTTTGACCAGCATGGCGAGTTAAGCATTAAGTAGGCCTATGTAGATAGTAGTAGTGAGCTGCATCGCTCAGACTCACACAAAAGATAACACGTGGCCCCAATGCTACAAGCATTGGGTATGCCGAAGACAGAGTCACTAGATGTTGGCAGCATGTACAGATCTACAAGTGGGCACCCTGCGACGAAGGGTGCGACTAGCTGTGAGCTGATGCTCTGCTATTGATTTTGGTGCTGGGCAGTGCAGAGCATCATTGCAATTCCCTTTTTGGGTTCATCACAGAAGGGTCCTTGTTCCAGTGCCAATGCTCTGCATAAACAGCAATACACCTGCTACTTCAGTAGTTCTCCCAAGTGCCAACGCTTCATCACTGGCCCAGTCGAAGGTTTTGATATAAATAAATAGATAAATACACAAGTAATAAATAGATAAACACAGGAATAAACATATAGATATATATAGATGTAGATATAGATATAGACTTATATAAATACATAAATAGATAAATAAATAAACACATAAATACATAGATACCTATAGCTACAACTATATATGTATATATATATGTATATACACAATTAAATATGTATAGATACCTTGAGCGTATGATCCACAGATATCCACAGGCATCATGGCGCTGGGAAAGATGGAGCTGTGGCTGCTCTTGGAACGAAAAGAACTGCTTCTTGACGCTGATCAAGATAATCAAGTTGCTTTCCAAGCTTGCCATTTTGTTGTTGTGATTTGTTATGGTCTTTTTGACACATTTTGACACTCTTTGCAACCGTGACAACCCTTTGCAACCGTGACAACCAAATTCAAGCTTCATTCCAGATTGTGCCATTGAAATGCATTGAACATGTACACCACCATGCCCTGCGCGTTCCGAACCGCAGCTGTTTCGCCCAATCGGTGCGCCACAACCGCGCCGGCGCTGGCGCGTGCAATCAATGCTGATGGAGGAGCACGAGGCAGGCGAAGCAGGCGGAGCAGGCGGAGCAGGCAGAGCAGGCGAAGCAGGCGAAGCAGGCAAAGCAGGCGAAGCAGGCGAAGCAGGCGCCGTGACCGCGGAAAGCGCGGAAAGTGCGGAAAGCGCGGAAAGCGCGGAAGCCGAGGCAGTGGAGATGGAGGAGTTAATATTCCGGATACCCTTGGAACTTCATGTGGCAAGTGATATTTCTTTGTACGATTTGCAACGGATGGTCTCAGCAAGACTGGCAGAGGCGGAATTGCTACCGCGACAGGACCCAATGTCTATGCTTTTAGGATTGAATGGACAGGTTTGCGGAGATCCACTTGCTTGTCCACTTCGTATGCTGGTTCCAGGTTCGGTGGTGTCATTTGTGGCCGATTTGCAAGAAGCTCATGAGGTGTCGCGATTGGGCTTGTGCCTAAATGCTTTTCAATTAATGCAGGTCCAATTATCAGGTTTCGCACCTCAATCACCTCAGCCTTTTCCTTCACCAATGGTGGGTTCCCCGGCAATGCCTCGGCCTCGAAAACTTCTACCAGATGACGTGATGGAAAAACGTCGGAAAGAACTTTATAAAACGGTACTTTGTACGAACTTCACCGGTCCAAATCGGCATTGTTCCTTCGGAGACAGGTGTCATTTCGCTCATGGAAAGGCGGAACTTCGTGCCATCGGGCAGCCTACAACCATGGTGACAGCCAATGTTCATGGGAACTCTTCGCAAAAAGATGAGCCAGCAGAGGATTCTAAAGATGCAGCGTGGAATTGGTCAGAAAAAACGGAATGGAAATGGGAGGGATGGGAAAGTTGGGACACTGACAAATATGACAAATGGAAATACGATAATTCCGACTGGAAATGGAATCGCGATTGGTCTCAGTCTTGGGGCTCCAAACGCGATTGGTCCCGAGATAGGTCCCGTGATTGGTGGAGCGGAGATTGGAGTCCACAAAGGGCAAGGTCTCAGTCCAATCGTTCCAACAATTCCAACCGGTCAAAGAAATCGGATTCCGGTGGTTTGGTGCTTCGTCCGGTGGACCAAATGGACCAAATGGACCAACCAGACCGGTCAGATCGGCGGTCGCGGCGTGAACACAGGAGCCGTGCTCGTGAGGCTCGTGAGGCTCGTGAGGCTCGTGAGCGGCGACGCAGACGAAGCCGAAGTCGACAGAGTCGAAGAAGGAACCGATGATGGTTCGATGGTGATCTCCGAATCTGAGATGTCTGAGAGGGCAACAGTATGGGCTTGTGATGGCTTGTGAATATTTGTGATATGGTCATAAAATGTATCAACGTATGTCATGTTTTTAAAGGGTTGGATTCAGTCGGATACTCAGACGTGCCGTGTGTGTTTGCGTTGGGTTTTTCAACAACTTTCGATTGGTGATGTTTGTTTCTGGACTCCGGCAAGGTGTTATTTTGTTTGTTTGGAGGTGTTGCAGTATTCGAGGGGTTTATTCCCAAAACATCAGGGACCAGAAACTCTTGAGGAGCTGGCCACACAGATGTAGGATACCACTGCTGCTGGAAGACCCATGCCAAGGCAAAAAAAACATGCAGGGCTGCTGGTAAATTTTGCACATTTGCAACAGGTGGGCCTGCATTATTTCAGATGATAGAATTAATCATATATAATCTATGTTGCCCGTAATCTCATCTAATCAACAATCACAGATATAATTTATCATATAATTTATCATATAATCAATAAATCATATAAATCAAGATGCAGTACGTCGCATTTTTAAAACACGTTTCAATGGACGATGGATTCCGATCTGAAGAGGTGCGCTGCAGTTGGGGTCGCTATCCCATGGGCGTGCCAGACTCTTCGAGGTCGCTTGCTTGAGGGCAGGGGGTTATACTACCCTTTGCTACCATCCTTTACCGTCCTTTACCTCCCAATAGCAGGTTTCTTAAATGGAACTTGATGATCATCCGTGTGTTTTTTTAGGGGCACAATTTTTCAAGACAACAATGGGGCAGTCACAAACTTGGTCACATTTGTGACATTTTTAGGAGCAAACCACATACAATTTAGCGGAGAAATGATTTTGAGCCATACCTTTGTATCATATCATGAATCATATCCGTGATTTTTTACATATAAATTTGCATAATATCCGTTTTGGGACTTCTGCGTCTAGAAATCATCACTAGTCGCCTCTTGTAAGGGGCGCCTGGGTTTCCACTGGGCCCCGCGCCGCAGTTTCGTCTCCTGCCACAACGGGCAGCTCTCAAGGCGAGCTCGGTGCAGGATTTGTGACTCAAAATCTTACTAAAAACATGATATGCCCCTCATTTGGATCTTATTTTGATCTTATTTTATCTTGTATATTCTTGGATAACATGTTCCATTGCAAATTGTGGGTGTGTCCAGCTGGGCATGCAAAGGAAGACCTAAGCGCCTTCAGTTTGCAACATGTTTCGGTCAACTTCCAAGTGCTGTATAGGTAAGGGATGACTGAACATGATGCTGTTCAGCATTCCAGATTTGTGTCCTTTTCTGACTGAGACTCAACTGATTGTATTGGCAATGGAATGATGAAATTGTTATACATTAATCATTAATCCATGCCTCTCCTTCAGGCCGGACTTCAAGTGCAGCCCGGTTCAATGTTCACAGCCAAAGGTTCGCGACTGGGTGGGTTTGCAAATTGGGCAGAGCCCAGAGCTGAGTGAGCTGAACTTCGTTTACTTGAGAGTTTTCACATAGTTTTTGGATCCTTAGAGTAGAACATAGTTCAAAGATGTTCAAAGCAACCTGATCAACTTCACCAGTCAGCGCAACATCTAGATTCTAGCCAATGTGTGAAGAAAGAATAAAATTCTATGCGGAGCATGGCGGAGCTAAAACACTGATAAGTGAAAACAGAACGGAGCAGCGACCAGGAAAAAACACCCTGGAGGTGGAAAAAAAAAACCTGGCCGATGCCCAAAACCAGAGCCACTCATGGACCCAGGCCCCGCTGCACAAACCCCAGAGGCCAAGAGAAGAAAAATTAAGAGGCATGCAGGCCAAATGCCCGACACAGCTTGGCCGAGTCAGGGCCAACCAAAGATGGTCGGAAAAAACAAGGATGCCTCTCACTGCCTCAGCAAAAAGCGGCCCCCACGCAAGGGTCGAAGACAACGAAGACCAGAAGAGATCTACGTGGCCATCCCAGCCGGAGTCCGGCAAGCCATCCGCACAACGACCAAAGCTCAAGCAACGAGCTCAGCACGGCGCCGCAGCGCAGCACGGCCCCTCCAGCTACGCACCAGCACGCAGGCTTCCTGCAGCAAAGTGGGCCCGCCTGCGCCGCCTCCAGCAGCGCGGCTGATGTGAGCCAAGGCTTGGGCCGCCTCCGGCGCCCAAGCGCCCGTGGTTTCAATCACCATGGGGAGGAAGGTCACGTGCTGGTCTGCGCATGCATCGGCTGTGTCCAGGTGCCGGCGCTTGTAGGCACCATATGCCTCCGCAGCAGAAGTGTTTCCTGAACCACCAAGGGCGTCCAACCGCTGGGGTGCCGTGACGGCAAAGTCAAGTGCAGTTGGGCGTCCAAGGAAGGACGGGAGAAACACATCCGCAGGGCGGCGTCGGGCACTGGCTGCATCATCAGGTCGTTGTGGGAGAAGCAGGCCAGCCTTCTCACGCTCAGGGCGAAGACATCCTCGTTCGGCCCAACTGTGAACCAGGTCACGAAGGGCGTTGTGGCGAAGTGTACGCTCCCCACCAGCCATGCACATGCCAGCATGGTACCCATGCGTGTCCAGAATGGCATCGCATTTGGGGCACCATGTGTCGGCAGCAGCTTCTGCAATGCCCAGACGGACCCGGATCTCAGCCACGAACACCGCTGGCTCCATGCGTGTGCGGCCGGACGGCGCACAGGTCAGAAAGGCCCGAGCACCAGGCGTTGCCTCCGACAACAACGTGGCTTTGCCAACGGCGGAAGCTGCGTGGAGTTGGGCCTGCCACCCAGCACCATCTATTCTGCGGCTGAGGTCCTTCTGCGTGAGCCCCAAGGCAGCGGCGGCAGTGAGCTGCTGAGTTGGGTCCAGGCAAGCGTTGAGTGCCGACAAAGCGGCGGCCACATCTCCAGAATGGTCTAACCAGTACCCGCCATCAAGCTCACCACATAGTCGGGCACAAGCGCCAACTGAGGCAAGGTAGGCACCTGGCGCATGGACCTTAGTGGAGCGGAGCCCCAGGCCGGCTTGGCCCAAGCCACGGCTTGCTTGTTGCCACGCAGAAGCCTCAACATGCAGACCAGTGAAGGAGCTGAAACATTCTTGCACCAGGTAGTCAAACTGTTCCAACGCAGTCTCGTGCCCAGCGGGTGGGCAGCACCGCATGGTATGCACGAGCCTTGCGTAACCAGCGGAAGCTCGCAGCAGCCGAAGGGCAACCTGTGGATCTTCAAGTGCACCAATGGCTTCCAAAAGTTTGCGGGCACCCTCAACTCGGGCGACGCCTCGTCTGGACCCCCCCAAAGCCCCTCGTCTGGACCCCCCCTCTCGCCCCCCTCTCGCCCCCCTCTCCCCCCTCTCCCCCTCCCCCCCCCTCCCCCCGTCCCCCCCCTCTCCCCCTCTCGCTCCCTCTCGCCCCCCTCTCGCCCCCTTCTCTTCGCCCCCTCTCGCCCCCCTCCTCTCGCCCCCCTCTCGCCCTCTCGTCGCCCCCCTTCCGCCCACCCCCCTCTCGCCCCCTCTCGCCGCCTCTCGCCGCCCTCTCGCCCCCTAAAATGGGGGGGGTCCAGATGAGGGGCTTTGGGGGGGTCCAAGTGAACCCCCGGCCCGTACGACCAGTGGCATGCCTTTGCAAATACTCGGGCCCACCAATGCCAGCCCCGAGAAATTCCAAGTCATGGAGAATGCGATTGTTGCCGGAGGTGCTCACAAGTTGGGATGGTAGCTTGGCCGCAATGGCCGCGGCAGGCGTCATGCCCACAGCGATGGCCTCACTCTTGCCCAAGTTCAACACTACTTGCATCCACTTAAGCGTATTACGGTATTACCAAAAAAATTGGGGCTTTGGAGATATTTTCTCGTTTTGGTTTTTCAAAATTAAGTTATTTTCAGAACTCGTCGCTTTGTATTTTCAGACTTTGTTACAAAAACCTTCATGACTTTTAGAACCATGCCACATGCGTTCTACTAGAATTCTCAGCTCAATTTTCCTTAGTTGTGGTATATGACACATTTTTCTTCTGACACACTTATTGTGGGACAGCTTTTCTGTTCTCTGCCTGGCGACGTCCGCAGAAGGAAATTTCTCGTATAGACGCCCGGCTAGATATTTTAACAAGTGTCATGACTATTTTCTTTTCTCGTTTTCTTTTGGCTCAATGGTTAAGATGCGCCGCTCCATTGTGGCTGTTTCGGCCGCGGTACTGGCTTGGCTCGGCCATTTTAGTGGCTGCTTCGGCCACGGTAGCAATGTCAAGCTTGGAAACCGGGGCCAAATTCAGATGGCGTAGTTCGGGCAAAAAATGGTGTAACATGTTCCTCGTCTCAGATGGCCAGCCAGAGCTAGGGTCATGGTTGGATGTGAAGCAGCAACCTTGGGGTGTTGGTTGTAAAGTGTGCAAGGAAACTGGGGTTTCCAATCCTTTCGCTTCTTATTCAATGACCAAGAAGGGCCAACTGCAGAACTGCAATTTGATGAAGCACCATAAAAGCAAGGCGCACAAGGCAGCGGTGAAGGAATGGTTGAAGGAAGGGGGCTGTGTTGGTCCTAGTCCCGATGCAGCCCTGGCATTGAGTCAGTTTCAAGAGCTGATGGAGTGCTTTGGCGAGAAAAGATCATTGACGCAAAAAGAGCTGCAAATGGCATGGTGTTTGGCAGAGGGGTTAAAAGCGTTGGACCAAACGTTCATTGCGAAATCTTCTCACATTTCTTTGATGCGGGATGAGCGGCATGGGCGGTTGGCCATACGATTCATGGCTGTGGCCCCAGACTTGACAACTCGAAGTGGCTTTTTAGGCCAAGCAAGGCAAGCTGGAACAGGAGCTGCCAATGTCTCCTTAGCCACATGGGCAGTCATGAAGCGTGCTTGCTCTAGATTTTATATGGCTCCTCTTAGTCAGAATCCTGGGCGTTTGAAGAAAAATCTTTTTAAACACCTGCGGTCAAGAGTTGTGGCACTCGCTGCTGATGCAGCAGCAGATGAAATGGCAAGCTGTGAAATATTAAGGTCAGCACACTTGAGTTTGAATACAGAAGACAATCAGCCAATGCTGCCAAACTTGAGGTCAGAAGTGGACAATCGATTGAGGGTTGGACACTGCTCAGGAGCCACCTGGGTATTTCAACTCACCCAAGCTGCTGCGGCCGAGGCTTGAGATTAAGGGCGTAGTCAGGCTGCTTCGGCCTGCTCGTTGCCAGGCTGCTTCGGCCTGCCCGAAACTTTTTTTTTGAAAAAAGTGGTTGCTTCAGGCTTCAGCCACAGAAGCTTGGCTGCTTCGGCCAAATCGCCTGGCTGTTTCGGCCAGCAAGGGTTTCGAGAAGACAGACTGTCTCTTAGAAAATAGTGGCTGCTGTGGCCTTCTTGGGACCAGGTTGTGGAAGAGACTTTGAAACCACCAAAGAGTATTTGAATCCAAAAAGGGGAAAATATGTAACATGTTTACTGTTTACTATTCAAATGTCCTTTAACCTGGTAAGGGGGATATTTTCTTTTTTATGTCATAAGGGATTTTGACATATGTTTAAAAATCATCTTAAGAATTACAGGGATGTAACCTCTTAAGACTATAAGACCCTAATTCGGGGACATCCCCTAACCTCCTAAGACTCTAATTCGGGGACGTCCCCTAACCTCCTAAGGGGTAATTCGGGGACATCCCCTAACCTCCTAAGACTCTAATTCGGGGACGTCCCCTAACCTCCTAAGGGGTAATTCGGGGACATCCCTTAACCTCCTAAGACTCTAATTCGGGGACGTCCCCTAACCTCCTAAGGGGTAATTCGGGGACATCCCTTAACCTCCTAAGACTCTAATTCGGGGACGTCCCCTAACCTCCTAAGGGATATAATCAAAAACCCTATCCTATGGAGAGGGCGATTTGCCCTCTCCAACCGAAGGTCGGGGACGTCCCCTAGCTGTGTAAGGAGAGGACGAATAGAGGACGAATGTGTAATACTACTAAGTGTTTCGGTTTTGCAAGCTGTTGTCCTCTGTTTGTCCTCTCCAACCGAGCATCGGGGACGTCCCCTACCTGTGTAAGGAGAGGACGAAATGACCTCTCCTTACACAGCATGTTTAACCAAAAACCTGCTGTGTAAGGAGAGGTCGTCACAGGTCGTCATGTTGCCTGAGCTTGGCTGTTTCGGCCACCCTGGCTGCCTTGGGCCTTCGTCAGTGAGCTGTGTAAGAAGAGGGCTGTGAGAGGACTATTGAATAAAATTCCTTAGGGCAAAACAACCTTTTTCGAATAGTCCTCTCACAGCCCTCTCCTTACACACTTCGCTGCTGTCAGTCTAAGGAGAGAACTGTTAGCCCCCTCCTTAGAAGCCTCACTCAAGTCGTTTCTCGTTGTTTTCGGCTCACAAGCTTTTCCGTGTGTAAAAGCTGTTTCGGCTTAAACCGTGAAACGTTCCAGGCTGCCTCGGCCTGCAATCACAGGCTGTTTCGGCCTGGAATATAACCTCACAGACTGGTTCGGTCTTGGAGCCAGTTTGCTACCACAGTCCACCCTATGAGCTCTGCGACGAGTTGATCCACGACTTTTTCGCGAAGATCATTATCGATCTGACACCTCTGGACGGCCGCATGGCTTGGGCAGCCTTGCGAAATCGGGTATAGGGTATGTAGGAGTTGCCTTCAACCCAGAGCACCACCGGCTGCTTGCATTGCTTGAAAAAGAAATGACAAACCCTGAGTCCAGCTTGTTTTCGTCAGCTTACAGTGAAGCCGTCGGTGGCAGTGGGCAGGCACCTGTGAATCAGACCGCAAAACCAAAGGCAAAGGTAAAGGCAAAGGCCAAAGGCAAGGGAAAGGCCAAACCAAAGGCTAAGGCAAAAGCCAAAGCCAAGCAAACAAAGGATGAGCAGGAGGAAGGCGAAGAGGAAAACGACGAAGATGAAGAAGACGACGTCTGGAATCCTTTGGGAGACGACGACGATGACGACGAAGAGGACAATGGAGACAAGTGATGTGGCTGCCTCGGCCATAGACGAGACGACGTGGCTGCATCGGCCATACCACGGTTGCATCGGCCGTGTGGCTGCCTCGGCCATAGGCGACGATGTGGCTGCGACATAGGCACTTCGGACCTATAGGCAGTTTTGATTGTGCCTTCCATGCGGGATCGAAAAAAAAGCTGCTTTTAATTTCCCACAAACATGACAGGTTGAAAGGTAAAAGTGTCGACTCTCTTAGGGGGATGTCCTGTTGTCAGTCGGTTTGTCTCATGTTTGCTGTACATGTTCTGAAACATAATCATTTGCGGTTTCTCGCACATTTAGGCTCTAGGCTTAAACTACATATGACCGTTTCCATGCTGATGATGATGCCGCCGCCCGAACTTCCACGATGACGTGGCAACCCCAGTGTAGTCACTAAGCCTGATGCCAAAGTCATCCAAAGGGATCTTCTCAAAAGGTTCCATGTGGAAAAGCTGTACCAGAAGTACAGGCTGCTTCAGACCAGCACATGGCCATTGGAAAGCAAGCTTGCTTCCACTATGCGGATCGAAATTGTGAGAAGAAAAGGGGTTAAGTGGATGAATGAAAAAGAAAAAACAAAGTGATGAGAAGTAGCATTTTGACTGCATCGGCCAAGCTATGGCTGCTTCGGCCAAGCTATGGCTGCTTCAGCACATGGCTGCTTCAGCCTATTCGAGTCTAATTCATATGATTTCAAAATCTATGGGAACCCATCTTTCACCTGTTTGTGGCTTGCACAAACCAAACTTGCTGTAGATATTTGGAATCCTCGTTTGCCCAAGAGAAAAAATGCGTGGACCGATGATTGAAGCTATTTTCTTGTTGTTGGAAGACATGACATTGTCACTGCCGGCACACACATGCATTAAAATTTGAGCACACGCAATCTGATATTTCACCCATGGAGACATTAGCACTCCTTTTGGTTTATATGCTTCCTTCTCCTTCATTCCTTTTACAAACACTTTCTTAAAAGAAGCTGTCTACTCCACTTTTTTATTTTTATTTCTCGTTTCAGTAACTTTCTCGTGTAAGGGCAATTTTTTTTTGTAATACCGTAATGCCGCTAAGTGGATGCAAGACTAAGCCAACTCGACCAGCAGCCTGCTGAAGTTGAGACAGGGCAGCTGTCACCGCATCAATGGGCCCAGCCAGCACCCCATCGTCCAAGTAGAACACCGAAAAGTCCAAGGCGGTGGTCCGAAGCGCTGCAGCCAGGGGATGGATAGCAGCCGCAAAGAGCAAGGGTCCCAAGGGATCCCCTTGCTGGACTCCGCTGTTGGACTGGAGGACCGTGTCGCCGAACTGGAGGTTGGTGGCGTGCTGGTAGCACCACGTGCTCCAGCGGGCCAGAGCGGGAAACTTGTCCCGGGCCTGTTGTAAGACCACATCACGGCTGATAGTGTTGAAGGCGTTCTGGAAATCAACCTTCACCACGACCGAGTCGTGCGAAGCGGCATGGCGGCTGACCCAAGCTCGCAGGCCCTGGACCGCAGCTTCAGCTCCGCCCGGCACTGCAACACCTGCTTGGGCAGGCCAGAAGTGGTCCCGGGCCTCAGGCCGCACCGCTTGCATGAGGCATTTGCCGGTCAGGCGGCGAAGAAGCTCGCCTACCGCTATTGGGCGGATACCGCCAGACGGCTTGGGCAAAGCCACCAGCCCCGCACCAGCGAGCAGTGGAGCAATGCTTGGACAAGCCCGCCCTTGGGCCAGGAGGTTCACAACCGCGGTAAGCTGGTCCAGAAGCCCAACGCCATGCCCCACAGCATCCAAGAGGTGCTGCACTCGGAGGCCACTAGGCCCCGGCGCCGTGGCTGAAGGGAAGCGGCGAAGGGCTTGCGTCACCGCATCAACATCGAACCCGGGCGCCAACGGCAAGCTCTCCAATGCAGGGACGACTGGTGCTGCAGATGTGGGGTGGAGGGCGCGCAAGGCTGCAACTGTTGCCTGGGAGTGGTCGCAGAGACCGTGCGAAAGCAAGGCCGTGCAGGCCTTCTTGTCGAAGCCTTCTCTGGCAAGGCCGGTGGCGAAGTCCCGCTTCTGCTCCGCCGTCATGTCACGGCCATGGGGCCGCTGCGGCTGAGGCCGACTGGCCCACAAAGAGGCCCGCTCGCCATCATTCCAACGCTTGAGGCGTTCGATGGTGAAGGCGGCTGCGGTGCGCTGATGTTTCCGGCCACCCCGGCGGGGGCTGCATAGCACACATTTGGGCAGCATAAGTAATAAATGAACCCAAGCGGCCTCATCGTTGTATTCAGCCACCGCCGCACATGCCCGAGTCAGTGCTTGCCCCCAAGCATAGCGGGCGCTAGGGGGAACATGCCGCAGAGTCGGCGTGTAGCTGCACTGGATCTCGGCTAAGGACGGAAGAGGGCCGTCAGTGTCCCTGGGGCCGCTCCCGACCGCACCGCCCACAGCCCTAGCAGCAGGCCTGCACGTGGGATGGATGCCGAAGCGAGTAGACACAGACAACCCGCACACCAAGCACTGCTGCAAAGAGCGATCTTGAAGCCAAGCCGCAGGAACCCGACCACTGAGCGAGCCCGCCAAATGAGCATCTACATGTGCTCGCACAGTGCTGTCGGAGGTCCACCCACGGGCGGAGTTAGCATCCGCACAAGGGCAACCGCCCACGGGGCAGAAGAGCCGCCTAGGAGCAGCAGGACTGCCGGGGTCGACCTCCATAGCATCAGCCCCTCCAGCGCCTTCCGGCGGCCGCCGCCGGGGGCGCTCCCCACCAACGGGAGTGCCCGGAACAGGGACCATGGCTCACACCAAACAGGGAGTCTCAAATGAGACGGGTGCTGATTTCTTGAGCCACCTGATGGATGGTGGTTTTGACATGTATCCACTGCATGGAGAGTCATGATTAATTGTGGGATATCGTGGGATGATTGAGCAAGATGCCCTTGTTGGGACCATTGTGGGTACATTTTGCAGCCATGGCAGGTGGCGAATATTGGCATCCCTGGCTGCGAAGAAGGCAGCCACGTGGATGATGGTGTGAAGCTCAATTCACCGACTAACCTTCTGAGGTTAATGGAAAGACCCAGAAATCACTGCACAGTCAAATGCAAGCAAGCTGCAGCTAGGTGCCACAAGGGCAAGAAGCACTTGTCATGTAGGTACTGAATGGAATGATATAGAATGATATATATATATATATGTATATGCACATATATATATATATGTATATATACACACACACATATATATATATACACATACATACATACATACATACATACATACATACATACATACAATTTATATATATATATATACATATATATATATTATATATACAATCACATACAATATATATATATATGCATACACAATACTAATACACACACACACATATATATATATATACAGTATGTATATATATATATATACAATATATACATATACATATACAATATATATATATACATACATACATACAATATATATATATATATATACAACACACACACATATATACATATATATATATACAGTATATATATATATATATATACTATTTCGCATGTGGATTTCCGAACTGATCCGGCCTTCTGTAAATCTGAGGTGCGAGCTGCACCCCTCGCTGTGCTCATGGTTTTGGACCAGTGGTGTTGGGAGCCAAGTGCAGAGGGGCCAGGTCACGGCGTCTCAGATGTATTTTGTATGGATATGATGTATCGTGTCACATATATAATTTTGTGGAAAGGATGAACAATTTTAGGTCGGTGAGTGGGACGAAGCTAACAATAAGAAGCACAGTCTGTTGGTGGCATGCTGCTTTGCCTCAAAAGTTTGAGCACAGGCCAGGTGGAGTTCCAAATGAGCAAAAAGTCATATCACACAATGCAAGAGAAACCCGTTTTTGGGGCCTTCACCTTCTGCGGTGCACACAGGGAAGGGCGCTGGTGTAGTTTCAGGATGTTTTGAGACCAACTCATTGGCCACATACCCTCTGGTAAACTAACATAACTATGGAAAATCACCATTTTTAATGGGAAAATCCACTATAAATGGCCATTTTCAATAGCTACGTTAAATTACCAGAGGGTAAGCTGTACCACAAAAGCGGCCACGACCCGACATCCATTGGCCCAGCGGGCCCCGGTCGCTTGAGCTCCATGTGTGATGCCCCCAGATGTTGCTCCGGCAGCCGCTCGGAGTGGAACATTTGGAACGGAGGGAGCTACGGGATGACCAGATCATCTGGCAATTTCAAGCCATAGGTGGTGAGTAGGCACCCAAATAGCTCTCAACAGTTTGAGGTGTATCTACACATGGGGACTCGCAATGATCAATTATGTGGTGGTTTGAGGAATTCACTTGCGGAAAACGTAGTTTTGGTTGTTCATATCCCACTGGTTGAAAAGGATACCGTGATTGTTAGTTTGTCCGAAGTTTGCTGGTTGATATCCCATGTTTCTCAGGATTTTGCAGCACCCACCATGTCGGCCCCACGGGAACTGCCAGATGTGGACTTGGATGACCTGCTAGCGGAGAGTACTCCTGAGGCTGAGGCAGGGGCCAAACAAAAACGCATGAACCAATAGATTTGACAGGTCGACTCAGAGCTTTTTTTTTGTGACTAACCTATGTCTTACCTTTGTTAATTTTATCCCCCAAGATTTCTTGGCCTTCTACCAGCTAAAGCCTTGCAGGCCGGGCAGCAGAAGGTCAAGGCCGGAATCCCTCGCGATTTGATTTTGTGGCAGCAAACCTCACAGCATTTGATTGATTTGTGATGTCAACCCCTGAATCAACCATGGTTGGTTCATTCGGGGGATACCCGGGAAAATCAACAATGGTAAGTTGGGCTTCAGCTGCCTGGGTCGATGATGCATTCTGAATGGAGCTAGCTAGACAACCAGGCAGATTAGTTCCTGAATTGGGTGAAGGATGTGAAGGGAAGTGTTTACAGGAACCCTTGTACATGATGGTCAAACTCCAGGGTAATGAGGGACCCACATGGACCCACGTGGACCCAGCAAAGGATGTTCAGAGAGATCCTCCTCCAAAAACCATGGGTTTCTTTTCGGAGAGGATCTCCGACAGCGGCTGAGAGCGCTGAAATATGAGGAGAGGGAGCTGCGCACCAGGCGGGGTTTGTACTTGATATACTGTACTAACTACTATAGAATGTTTATTGTTGATGGTCGTGGGTTGTTATAACCATCACTGAGTTATTTTGTTAAATTTTGCTATGAGTATTTAACCAGTGAAATTATCTGTTACTATTGTTGTTATTCTGATTGTTCCTCTTATGGTTATGATTTTGTATGATTTTGTCACCGCTGCGTGGGTCCCCGCAATCAACCTGCACCTCTCAGCCTCTCAGGTGCGTGAATGCAGCAGGCGGCCTGCATAGCAAACTCTGTGAACTGCATGGCAAGCCGTGGACTTGGAAACCTGAAGGCCGTTTCGGGAGACTTTGGCCGCGACCCTCACATTTTGTGTATTCCTGGCCGTTTCTGAATTTGAGGTGCTATGATTTTGATCATTTTGAGGTTTCCGATTTTGGATACCCTCTGGTAATTTAACATAGCTATTGAAAATGACCATTTATAGTGGATTTACCTACTATAGATGGTGATTTTCCATAGCTATGTTAAATTACCAGAGGGTACCATATGATGGCCAACTAGCAGTTTGCCCAGCCATGGCCTCACTGAAACAGATTGTAGTTGAAGCTGTGACTGATGGTTCCATCTTTGCTGAAGCAATGATCCACTTCTGGTTTCGCTGATTTGGAATGCTGGGATCCCCAAACCTGAAAGTCATGAAAGGAATCTACTAGCTGCTTACTAGCTACATAATTATCACATGATGTGTACTTGAGATGCTCATTCAGGAGATGTTCATTTCACTTACAGTAACTTACAGTATCTCTTAGACTCTCCAAGGGCAAGAGATACCCTCTGGTAATTTAACGTAGCTATTGAAAATGACCATTAATAGTGGATTTTCCCATTGAAAATGGTGATTTTCCATAGTTATGTTAATTTACCAGAGGGTAGTAAGAGCACCGAGGGCCCAGGATCCCCAATCGCCACACCACAGGCGCCCGCCCATCGCCATGGGCGCCATCGGCGCCATCGCCGCGAGAGCAGTCGCCCACGAGCCCATCGACGGCCCCCTCCAGCCGAACCCAAAAATCGGCCATCAAAAAACGCAAGGACCACAGGGATGAGCACCACGGATGATCCAAGTCAAATGGCATCATGCAATAAACCTGGGTTAGAACATGTTAGAACAAGTTCGAACTACAGATGTTGATTGAATCAATTGACTTGGGGTTTAAGTCACCAAGTCCCGCCAAACTGGGGTAAATGATGCACTTTCCGATGGGTGTCATTTGTGGAGAACGGGACTGAGATCCATGTCAGTGAAGCGAAAATTGCGACATGCTTAGATGATCTTAGATGATCATCCCAGTAAATGCATAGCATCGGAAAGTTGAGCGACAGCGCCACATATCATTGCAGAACCTGCCGCGTCGATTGAAGCAGTTGAAGGAGGCCTGGAAACTGACGCACAGTGGTTTTGTGGTCAATGCGCCCTTAATCCCCATGTGCCATGGATGGGGCATAACCTCTCTCGTTGAAGGCTTGAAATCCGCAGTTCAATACACTTTCTCTCCAAGATGGCTAGTGTCGTACAGCACGCTGTCAGCTGTGGATGCATATCACACAGAGAGAGCGAGAGAGATGTATGTATATATATATATTTATGTGTAGGTATTATAATAGACTCCACATTCGTTATTTTCTTAGAGGCCCCCAGCCCCAAGTCATCCTAAATCAAAATAATTTGCGAAACTTAAGGAAGCTATGCGAATACAATCTACCGTACATACATGCATGCATACATACATACATACATAACATCACATTACATAACATAACATTACATAACATTACATACCATTACATACCATTACAAAACATTACATAACATTACATAACGTTACATAACATTATATAACATTACATAACATTACATAACATTACATAACATTACATAACATTACATAACATTAGGTAACATTACATAACATTACATAACATTACATAACATTACATAACATTAGGTAACATTACATAACATTACATAACATTACATAACATTACATAACATTACATAACATTACATTACACTACATACATTACAATACATACATTACAATACATACATTACAATACATACATTACACTACACTACACTACACTACACTACACTACACTACACTACATTACATTACATTACATTACATGCATACATACATACATACATGCATACATGCATACATGCATACATGCATACATGCATACATGCATACATGCATACATGCATACATGCATACATGCATACCTGCATACGTACATACGTACATACATACATGCATACATGCATACATGCATACATGCATACATGCATACATGCATACATGCATACATGCATACATGCATACATGCATACATGCATAGATGCATAGATGCATAGATGCATAGATGCATAGATGCATAGATGCATAGATGCATAGATGCATACATGCATACATGCATACATGCATACATGCATACATGCATACATGCATACATGCATACATGCATACATGCATACACACATACACACATACACACATACACACATACACACACATACACACATACACATATATATATATACATATATATATATTTATTCTATGTATATACATTATATATATACACGTATAACAATAATAAAATAATGCTAGATCA